AATTGAAGCATGGCGAGTTAACTACGATAGATAAACCTACACAGAAGCTGTTGCCAGAAAACAAAGGTTATCAGATTTTCAGTAGTCCCTCGATAGATGATGATGAAGTGCCATTATCTTCACTAGGTAATAATGTTGAAACTAAATCTGATACTGACAAAATTTCAAATGATATTCCTAAGGGAAAGAAAAATTTATTGAAGGGTAGTAAGGTTGAAAATCGAATATGTGCAGGAGAAAATGCCAAGAATACATTGGAGCAAGGCAAACTAACAAAAGTAGATGAAGTCAAGTGTAATCTCTTCACTGACAATAAGGTTTCAATTATTACGTCGGCAAGTAATGCAAAGGAAAAAAGTAAACCTGTAGAAATAGATGAAGACTCTATACCATTATCTTCAATGATTGAATGTAGTAATTTGTCTGAAAGAGAAGAAGATTTATTTGAGGATAGATTGCTTGAAAAACAAAATACTACCCAAGAGCGCCATGGTAAAAATACATTAAAACACCGTAAATTGACTAAACTAGAAAAAATGAGACAAAAGTTGTTGCCTAAAAGTAAAATAAGATCTGCAACCCCACCAATCAAAAAAATGCGCCACAAACCATTACAAATTTCACCTCCTTCGAAACACATTGCTCCCAGTGATAATGCCGCGTCCTTGAACGATAAAGATGTTTACGAAAATGCAATCAAAGTCATGTCCGAATTAAATTTAATTAAACAGACTAAAAAAAATAAAAGCCAATGCAATAGTAAGGCCACAAATGAGGCTGGTATTTCAACCGAAAGTTCAAACAGCAATAAAGACACACATAATAGTACAAATAAAACAAATACTTTGTGTTCAAATGAAGCAGTGGCTAAGGAGGTAAATTCAATATCTCTTACCCAAAAAAATACAGACCAAAAGGAAAAGGTGCTGAGTAATGTATATGACAAATGCAAAAAAGAACTAGTGATTGCAGTCGTTAAATGCGATATTATTAAGAATGTCTCTCTACTGTCGTCTCCTGAGAAACTGCTTGCAAACAGTCAAAATGAAAGTTTTGAAAAAACAAAGATAAGCCCTATTAACAAAGCAGTATTAGACAAAAAAAATCAGGTTCAAAGTAACCACCGAAATGAGGAAAGAGATGTGAAATGCGAAGCAAATGCGGATCAACAAGAGTCAAGAAAACGACCAATACGGCTTTCCGATGATAATCCAGACATACATTGTAAGAGAACATTACGAAGTTCAACCCTTACACAGTCTAAATCACATGAGCATGATGCAAGTCTTATTTCTAATATCTTATCGGACTCTGAAAACGATGCCAATGTTACTAATACCGGACCTCTATCACCAAACATAAATGGAATGCATGATGTTGATTGTTCAACGCCCAATAAAAGTTCATCAACCCAGAGGTTATTGAATTATGAAGATATAGATATGTTCACAGACGATAAAGAGATCCCTACAAAACAAGTTCACGAAGATAAAGTAAAATTATATCCAAAAGATAGCATATTTTGTAAAATATTGGAACAGACTGGGAAACAACCTTTCAAGAAGAATAGAAAGATACTTCCAGGTATAGTTTTATTTTACTTTAAAATAAAAATGTATCATGCAGCTGGTATACCTATTTCTCTTTTATTTAAAAATTATTTCTTTTTCAGACCCTGCTATATCCACAAAAATAAAAGAAGAAATCGCTTTGATTTGTGAGTTGCCTCAAAAAGATACCAAGAATGCAATGAATAATCTAGTCGCTATTATTAAGAATTGGGACCGCAAACAATTTCTGGCAGGCTTTATGGTATACCTAGAAGATCCAGAGCGGAAAATGGAGCTATTTAAAAAGATCTACTCTCCTCCAGGACCATCTATGACAAAAGCAGAACAGATACTTTTATATGTAATATCACAACTGCGAGGCAGTTGGAGTGACGTGGTTGAACGGATACTGTGGGTCATAGAGTATAAGTTGTTTAACCTCAATGCTACTCCTCATTTTGATCAGATTGAGAGTATTTCGCATTTCTTTGCGCTTCTCTGCCGCTATTTTAAACTGAAGAGCCGATTGAGGCTGTTTATGATAGATGCTTTGTACTGCATGCAGTACAAGGCCGTTCCTCTAATTAAGCAATGTCTGGAGGTTTGGATGCTTATTTTACCACTGGCTCATATGGGCATTGGTGAGTTAAATGTTTTACATTATTATTATTTATGGATTCTGATTACTTTCGTCAGTTGTATTTCAATGCTTTGTTTTTACATTAACGTCCGTATTCATAAACGATGCTTGCTTAATTGAAGCAGCAAATCGAACGCACAGCGTTGAATAGAAGCTCTGTGATTGGTTCGTGTGTCACCTTGTGAGTCCACGCGCACTGGAAGACTTCTTAGTAATGTTTTTGAATACGAGCGTAAGTTTTGATGGTCGCTTGAGGAGTGGTTCGCATAACGAACTTCAACGCCAACAGCGGTTGTGGTGTCGTAATGTTTAAAGTACCTCAAAGCTAAACGTAAATTATGTTTTAAAGGCGCTCTTACATCGGCAGATTTTCAAACAATACCCTCATTGGTTTTCTTTTGTTTTCAGCTAAAAGTCCAATGGTGACTACTATGGTATATTTATTGCATTACTACAAATGCCAAGATCAATCCAACAGAGTGCAAGAGATAAAGACCATACTCAATAGAAAATATTCATACAAAATCACAGATTGGAATGAACCAAAGATTCTAGAGATGTACAAAAATGCCATCAATGAAACACGAGGTATGTTGGTTTTCTAATTTTTTTATTGTAGGGAACTTCGACCAATCTTGAGTTAAATATATTTTTTATAACTGATGTCTATTATTTTTAACATATTTCAAAACAAGATTAGGTGTTCACACATCTGATTTACAAATAGCCTGTGTAGTAGACTTATTAATGTTATTCAATAGTAATATTTGCTTGTTTCAGGTATACCACTGGAAAAAAAGCTACTTCGGTTGGCTGTCTTATTAATTGCAAAACGAAATGGCCCAAGATGGTGCCAGAGGAACATGATAACTGGCATACTCATGACAATTTTGAAGAGTGATAAGGTCTCTGAACGGGCGAAGATATTTTGTGCATCTATATTGGGACCATTGCTCAAGCCTTATCGAGATGAAAATATGAGATCTAATTGTGAAGTAGTTATAAACTATCTTCTGGATATGTTAAAACACAATCGTGAGTATACTTTTTATACCAGGTGCTCCTTTTGATTTTTGGAAATTTTAGGGGTATAATATGTATGTACATAATATGTATATGTGTTCCTAAACGCAAATTTTCGAAGATATCATCAATCTTAATAGTTTTTTTCCAAAATTGTCATCCAGTTATCTAGTCACAATTTTCATTGATAAGTATGTAAATCATTCATTATTATTTAAGTAAAAATAATGTGATATTGATATTTTTTTACATAAATGTGTTTTAACATGGTTTTAAAACTATGGCGATTTATTTTGTATGAAAAAATAAGTCCAAATAAATTGCTGAATTAAAAAAAAATGCCATTCGATTCTTTGAAGTTGTCTTAATAATACCCTAGAGTTCCAGGAAATTAAAAAGGGCAGCTTGTATTTATGTGTAAATTCTATGTAAGTAAATAAATATTAATCTATATAATATTTTTGTTTTAGCTTCAAGCCAGATAGAGGAGGCAGTGTATACTNTGTATACCAGCTTGATTAGCATCAGTAGGCATGACCTGGCCAAAGTTGTAAAACCACTGTTGGCTTGGCATCCACAACGAGTGTCTCCAGAGATGGAAAGGGTGTTGCGGGATTTTGTGGCTGAGAAAAATATTCCTACTTGGACAAGATTGCTATCGGAGATGCAGTTACAGTAATGGTTTCGCGTAGCTTTAAACTATTTTAGAAAATATTAAGTTGCATTAAGAACATACGCAGCATCTTTGCTTGAGCATGTCTTGGAAGAGGCCTATGCCCAGAAGTGGCACGAAAAAAGGCTGACTCTATGATATGTTTTTTTTTATTATTTACATCATGTGATGTTACTTATGTATAAAATTCATTTAAGTAAAAACGACATGTATTGTAAACAAATGTCTAGATTTAAGAGGATATTATTTAAAATTTCTTGATGGAAACTGTGATTTTATGAAAATCTGCTTCGTTTTGGAAGTGGTAGGGAAGTTATAAAGATAATGAAATATAAAAAATCAAGAATCTTACTTGCTTTTTTATTATAATGTGATTCCTGATGGTTGGCAATTTCACGACTTGAAATTTTAATAATAATTAAGGCCCTGCCCTGATACACTATGGGACAAATGGAGCAACAGGATCTCCATTTGAAGGTGAATAATCTATATGGAAAATTGTAAATTTTTGGTCTGCTTCCGTTCGGATCAAGATAGGTATTGGCAAGTCGTTCGTTCTATAAGAAAAGTAATTATGTAACTAGTAGATTAATTTATTGGCTTTCAGGAAAGCATATAGTCAAGTCTATGAAGTCAATAGTTTACTATCTCGAAAAAGCAAATAAATAGGTAAATTGGGTGTTTGAAAAGTCAAAATCGCAAAGCTTGATTTATGTCTAGAAATACTGCATAACTTCGATCCTATTAAATTTTATCGACGGTTTTTATCGAGTAACTTATTAGGCGCTTAGGGGCCATTCATGAGGATGAATGGAAATGGAAATCGTTTTCTTATACGCATCCGAGCGAAACTCGGCACTTGCGCGGTTACTCGCACTTTTTCAAAGTATAATTTTAACTTTGTGCATTTTTGTGATCTTACGTAAGAACTAACGAGACTCCCTCCCACCCCCTTGTAAGAAAAAATAAGACATGGTTGATTGCGGGCCATGTTTGGCGCCGAAAATGATTATGTAGTGTTGTCGTTGGAAGACTACAATTAAACACGAGTATTTTTTTAACCAGTATCCATAAGAAAATATCGTACTATAAAATATAAATCAAACGGTTCATATTAAATATGCGGTTTTTATTTCTATTTCTTCACTTAATTAAACATCTTAATATAACTTAATAAGTACTTTAAATTACATATTCGACATAATTTTATCATATCAATCAAAATAAATACCATACTTGCATGAAGCATAAGCTAGCAATTTTTCTTTTATTTTAATAATTTGTTTTATATTTTTTTATTTCTACCATAATTACATGAATATTGACTAACTGTGTTCTGGCGTTAGGTGTGAGTAATTTAACAAACTTGTGATAGTATTGGACAAAATTAGTCAACGCCATTTGTAATAGTCCAGATCCTGTGACTAAATTAGGGAACGACACTAATACTTCTCTGTGTATTTGTTCTAGGCTTTGTTTCCATCCTGCGCTAAACGATGCCACCAAAGGCAAAGATTTTCTTTCCAAACTTGCGAGTTGAGTTTTGTTATCGCCTTCTAGTAATTGTTCGCCTTCTTTAACAAATTGCATCATTCCCCCAAAATGTGGACTCAATATTTCTTCTACATATTCTGTGCTTCGGGACTGAAGTTGTTCCCTAAAACTCTCAGCCTCTTTAGTGTTGTCTCGTGTTCTTTCCATTAATATGCTTAACACCATGTCATAATTATTTATCAAAAATATTAGTTGTTGTATTCTTTGTGGAAATTCTGCAGCCATTTTTAGTAAGAAACAGTGCACTTCATCCTGTAAAACTAACAGTAGATTGCTAAGTTCTTCAGAAGGAAATTGCTCACTCAGGCTCAACATGGCAGCTGAAAATTCTGCATATCGACGGGTTATCTGGAATGAGTAAGTAATTCAATATTAAATAAGTATATTTACATAATGTTTAATATTTAATATACATACAGGGTGGAATTTTGTAATGCCACCTGGAGGGAAAGTACTCTTAATATTGTAGATAGATTTTTTTTCTAAAAGAAAACATTCCTTTATTTTTGAAAAGAAATAGAACTGCATTCAAAGATTTCCAAAAAGGACAATGACCAAAAATGTATGGAGTGTGGTCCAAATGTCCATCACTAACAAGACCTATGTAGTAAAATAGTCTACTAAATACTGATTCATTATAACCAAACCGCCATCAAAAATATGCTGTCAGTAAAAAGTTATGACTGAATGAAAAGTCATGTTTTCACCTTTTCATCCGAAAAATGTTCTCGATATCAGTCTATCTATCGCACATTTTGGACTAATCTATGCATGTTATGTCATGTCGCTTAGTGTGCCGTGTTAGGTTCTTGCTAAAAGAAAAAAAAATAAGCTCAGAAGGAAGACAACAATATTGGAATACTTTGAATATGCAAAAGGGGTAAAAATAGTCTTTTTTAAAACTGGTACGGGGTTATAGATGATTTATTACATTATACTAGCTCTGCCTACGACTTTGTACGCGTGAAAATAGTTTGAATAATATTTCCCATTTTTACAACATTTGTCTTTAGGTACTGCTCCGCCCCTATTGGTTGTAGGGTGATGTTATATAACCTACAACCATCTTTGATAAATGGGCTATCCATGACAAAAATATTTCAAATAAGACCAGTAGTTCCTGAGTATAGCGCGTAAACTACTAAAATTTTTCAAACAGTCATAACTTTTTACTGACAGCTTATTTTTTTTTCGTCCCATACTGAAAGTTAATCTCTATTTAATGGACTATAAGCCAATATAGGTCTCATTAGTGGTGGACATTTGGACCACTTTTGGTCATTGTCCTTTGCTTGCCACACCCGGGAATCGAACTAACTAAAATCTGTTAAAAATTACACCCTGTATTTTTATTACATCAATCGTTAAGGTTAAGTAAAAGGATGAAATCTCTCGAACAAACTTGATAAATCAAATGAAAGGAAAACCATGAAATCTTATTTTTTTAATTATGTACAGAAAATTGTATGGTATGGTAGTGAATTTTCGAAATGCAGTTCTCTTTCTTTTCAAAAATAAAGGAATGTTTTCTTTCAGTAAAATTTTCTATCTACAGTATTAAGAGTAGGTACTTTCCTTCCAGGTGGCATTACAAAATTCCACCCTGTATAAGAGGAAATATTAAAATCTTACATAATGTGGGCCCATTTCCTTATTAGATAATTTTGCTGGATCACATTCCCTTACACTTTGAATATTCAATTTTAAAACATATTCCAATCTAGGCCACAGGGCACCATGCAAGGAATCCCAGTAACTGAAAAAAAAATGATGTTTAACATTTTTGTATTAAAAAAAATTACAATTGAACAATGAAATGAAGTTATAGGTCATAATAATGTCCAACTTACACAGTACAGTTTCAGATAATCGGATAAATTAAGCAGTATAAATAGTAGTTAGTAGATCTCAAACAGTGGTTATTGACTTATTAGTCTATTATCTTGGTCTATTATTATTTCACCATATGTTTTCCTAACAAAATAAAATAGAATAAAATATTACCTGTCAAGAGCACCAACAGCCCGTTTATGACACATCCATCTATATCGATTTATGAGTTGGATGCATAAAAACAATGCCAAGCAGTCATAGCATTCTAAAACATAATTTTCCACATTTTTCTGGAAATAGAATAGAAAATGGTCAATGTCTGACAAATTAGGTTAAGAAGACAGTTCTCCATTAGTCTATCATCTCCTTAAGTTTGTTGGCATTTTTAGGACAACCTGTATATGCTATTCATTCTTACTGACGATTAATTAATATGAAATTGATAGGACATACACACCACAAGTAAAGACAATGTTTTTCCAAGAATTCTGTCAAAGAGTTCTTGTGCATGGCTGCCTTTCACATGAAAGAATTCGGTTGTGAAAAGGTACTCCCGGCAACCGTTATCAACAAGGGCATATTGGAGACTTCTAAATAATGCCTCATATGAATACTGCGAAACAAAACATGAATAATTATTTCAATTAGGTAAACTGTGTTATGCAGTAATTTTAGAGTAGATACTTTTAGCAATTAATCAAAAATTTTTATTTACACTTACTTTGATTTTTTGCTGTGCATGAGGAACTATAATTGGAGCTTCAAGTTGCTGTGCTAATACATCACCTCGATTGCCAATGGTAAAGATCGTGCTTTTATTTTTGAGATTAGATTTCTGGAAAAAACCCCCTTTAGATCCATCTTCTATCCCCATGAGGTCTTCTTTGGTAGGAGCTTCTTCATACTTTAACTTATCCAGTCTTGATGCATAGGATTTAAAATACGAGTAGTACACTTTGCTCAATGTATCAATGTACTCATTGCATATCTCTTGAGCAACATTTCTTTCATTTGTAAGTACAAACTCAAAGAAAAATTTATATTTCAGCATGGCATTCTGTGGCATTTGGTAGTTACCCATCGGTTTACGAAACTTGTATATTTGTTCTAGAATGTAGGTTCTTATTTTTGATACGGACTTTATCTTTAATTTTTCCAAGACATCTTTAACATCATGACATGCTTTAGTTTCTTTGAAGTCCTGTTCTTTGACAAAGTTGAGCTTTTGGTTCAATATAGCAAGTTGTACCATGAATTCTTTGTCTGTTACGGGCACATTATTGATCCCACTATAAAGATATAAACACAATATTAAAAGTTCAGTTAATACTTTACAAGTTTGGTAGGGGTGTTTAAAAAGTACTTACAATATGAGTGTCTCCGATACAGCCATGTCTTCTATGAATGAAGACAGTGGTCCTTTAAGAACTTGTCTGTTAGACAATTGCACAGACATGTTGACGGAACGCTTTTGCAAACTAATTATCTCATTGCTGATGCTACCTAAGTCATTCTAAAAGAAAAAATAAATTAAAAATTATATACCTACTACAATCTGAAATGTAGGAATTGTTTGTGGTCAGATAGTATGATACAAGTTATATGCTCTATCAATTCCTTGCTTGTGTGTACTTACCTGGAATACCATCAGCATGCTTTCCATACGTTCCAGAATATTATCACATTCTTCTATTTGAGAATGTAGTGAGCCAATATTCTCACTTTCTTTCAAATAATCTGCAATTGATGCTTTTTCGGCTTCTTTTATTCCCTTGTCGATTTGAAGAGCATATTCTCGAAGATCAGTACCATTTCGCAAGACTTCTTGTATTTCTATATCTTCAAGATTTTTATCTAGGCCTTCTTTAGTGATCTCTGCCTCAGTCATTTTCGTAGTCGAAGTATTTGTTCTTAGAATTGAAGATTCTTCGTATTATTGAGGTATAATCTTGGTACAATCTAGTTATAACGAAAACATCTGTTATGCATAGAAATAAATATTTTATAGAAAAACATTCGTGATGGATGCGGGCATAGAGAAAAGTAATACCAAGTAATACATAGGAAAGAGATGCGGGATTCCACAGATATGGATTAGAGTAGATACAGCAAGTTGATCGTCAAAGCGTGCCATTCCGATATGTCCAAATGGACATACATGGTCGAGTGATGTTCATGTAATCCGATTACAACAATCGGTTACGATGATTTTACGAGGACAGTAGTACGAACACGGTAGAAAGAAGAAATTATTTACGGATTGAGAATTGTAATTAACAGCACAAGTAACAAATAATTAATTAGAATAAAGTAGCAGTAGAAGAAGTATAAAGTAGCATTGTTTTTAATACATATCCTGCGATGTACTCTAAGAGTTAAAACCATGGTCCGTGTATGTGGTGCACTCATACCGATCACAAGGAACCGTACTTACTTTTATAACAATAAGACACCCACTGATCCATGTATTCATGCACTTGACCAATTTTTGTCTTGAAATGCTGGTAGGGTAAAAAAAAATAACGAGATTTGACGATTTGTAAGAACTAATTTATTTAAAAAGGTAAGTAAAGATGTTTTTGGTTTTGTATTTAAGAAATTATCAGTTTTATCGGAATTAATTAATTGTCGAATCGAGTCACACGATATCTTTCGATGACTTTGCGAATGCAGTACGATGATACGATTATTTTTACGTTGCGGCAATCACTAAAATTCGCTAAAATGACACTAATGACGTTTAAAAAGTGGCACGCTCGGCTTCATACAAATTTTTTCACATGCTGCATCTATCTATATCTGTGCGGGATTCCAAAGATTTTTTGACATTTCTTTTGATGACAGTGACATTGACATGAATGAAGACATTTTATTTTTTTCCACGTTAATTTTTTTAGATAACGGCTTTGGGTTATGAAGAATCGATTATCTTTTATATGAATCGATTATTTCTTTATTGATTAATTCTAGTTTTAATGCAACTTATTATGTGCTTGCACGTCAATAAATAAATAAATATTCCACCAAATCCAAATTAAGCAGAGCAGAGCTTGTTCTAAGAGTACCATGCACTGACTTAGAGGTCAGTCAGTGGTACCATATAGGCACCCACCCACCACCAGACAACGGATAAAATATTTATGTCAATACTAGCTGACCCGACGACCTTCGTATCGCATGTATGTTCACCAAAAATAACGTACGATTCTAATGGTGAAATAATTTTTCAAATCAGTCCAGTAGTTTAAAACCTTCAAAATAAACAGACCATCAAATTTTTCCTCTTTATTATTAGTGTAGACTCATCTTAATATAAAAATATAATTTCGCTTTAGTTATATTAGTTTCATACATTTTAATTTTGCAACCTAGGTATGTGGGAATCAAATCCGAGGTGTCCGAGGCCTCTGGCTGAAATTATAGTCCGGTACGCGAACCACTTGACGAACCACGACATCCTAAAAGTAGCAGGGAAGCGCTGGACGCAAGCCGCTACCAATCGATCAACATGGAAAGCATTGGGGGAGGCCTATGTTCAGCAGTGGACGTCCTATGGCTGAAATGATGATGATTATGATGATGACGCGAACCACGCCAAATGGTGTAGACTCTAGGTAATCTAATCTGAAATTTTAATTATTAGGTATTCAATTATAATTTTTACTAAAATAAAATATTAAAAACGTATAAAAATAAAATATCGTACAAGTAACACTAACGCACGTATTAAGTAAGTTTTAAACACGTAGCACGAGCTAGAAGACAGCTGGCGTAGCATAATCTCGTACATATGCACGTAGCATTCAATATTTCTAGGGGGTTGGTAGAGAGCCTAGAATCTATGTATACTCACTTAGTGGACACCAAAGTGAGTATAGATTCTAGGCTCTCTCTCATCCGCGACGTTTTCGCCGCGAGCACGCGGCGTGTTCGCTGCGTGGCCGCTCCGCTTTGAAAACGCTTGTAAAGCGCCAGTGTGGAAGGGCCCTTATAGCATAGCCGGGTTTCTTATTATGTGATGCCTCTCATTTGTGAATCGATTGTCGTACTTAACGTGTCCATGGCAAAGAGGTGGATAGACTCGTTTACAGTGTTAGTCTTTGCCAGGAAAGGCTGGAGAGCCCTGTGCTTGCATTATCACTAAGTATTTTCAGACTGAGCTTCCTGAAATGCCCCCTCCTCAAGCAGCTTGAGTCAGCTTTGTCGGGCGGCGCAAATACAAGTTACGATTGAACGTATTTATATGTTAGCCTCAGTTGCCCCATCCCTATCTTATTAACTTTATCCGTAACTATAACTATAACCGGTGTTTTTGTATGGAGTTTGACAGACTTGACGTTTGTTATAATAAAGGAAGATGGTGCACAACATTACAGGGTGTTAGGTAAATGGGTTTACCTAAGTACTCGTATAAGCCGGCCGACTACTACTACTACTAGCCCATGTTAGCATGTGCTAGTGTCGGCTTATAAACCCATTTACAAAACCCTGTATGATATTTCACCTCGAACAAGTTACTATGAGTGTTCTTAGCCAAAGCATACAAAGTTACTTTAACTTGATCGTGAATTAGTGAAATAATAGAATGCTAAGAGAAGATGTAGTATACTCGTAGTTCAAAGGCAGTTTTATAAAGGTATTAATAAAAAGTAAAATAAAATTCAATTGACGCATTTGCGACAGTATATTTTGACGAAATATTTACAAAGAAAAAAGTGTAACATTATAACAAAAGCATATCGATCTATTCGATAAAAGAAATGCAGTTTATTAATAGTCCCGGAAGGTAACATCATTTATCATGGTGTTTAACAAGAATATATTATTAGTAATTTAAGACAGTAGGTACTTATCACAACAGTAAATTTAATGCTTTACAATTCTCTTCAAGTTAACAAAGGTTGTGTCACAATAATCTAAAAAAAAATAGGTACAGTTTGTTTTATAATTCAAGTTGTCAAAACTATTTTTAACGTAGATACCTACTCACCAGTGAATAAAAGTATGTATCGTTAAATAATTGTTAACTATGAAATGTTTCTTTGTACTAAATTATAAGTAGGTATCTACTATACTAATATTCACTCTCGAAACTTGAAGAGAAGTTTATTTATCTTATTGCTTAAGGGTAGATAGGGTACACTTAATGAAGTTTCATTTACATCAGTGTTAAATGGTAAAAAATACATTACTTATATTTTAACTGAGTAACCATCGAATTTATTAGACAGAGTTTTTAAAATTTAATATAGTATGTAGTGAAAATGACTGGTTCAAAATTGTTACTGGGATACAGCATCTAATAAAGCACAACCAAAAAGTAATAGGTAAATTAAGTACATTAGGTACTTATTTGAAAGTTTGCCGCCTTATTTAACGACAGATAATAATTTCTTGATTATCACTTATAAATCTATAAAATTATCTAACATAAAGGATTTCTGGCTTTCGAGTAAAAAGTCCAGCATTTTATAATAGTATTATCAAAATATTACCAATTTCGTACAAAATTACTTAAATACCAATATTCGCGTCTAATAAGATATATTAAGATATAATCTTTATTGATTAATACAATACAATATATAATTCTAGACGTTATCACGTTGCAATGAGAAAATATTTGTGGTAAAATTCAAATATTTTACAAATATCTTGTTTTTTGTGTCAGCTTTACGACTTTTTAAGAGGCAAGTGTAACATAAATTAACTTTGCTTGGATAAGGCATGTTAAATTTTATTCTATGAAAATAGAATGTAGTGATGGTATTTGAAAACATGATATAGTTACTTACTGAGGCTGGGGCACACCTAACTACTTGTCTTGTTTAGTTTCTGAAAGGTTAATGGACGGCTTCAATGATTTTGTAGTCTAAAATATGCAGACCGGATTAAGCGACCACTTGTAATTACTACTACTTAATGTTTCACATATCTCAAACAGTTAAATGTTATTCCTAAGTCTGTAACAATGTAGATTTTTAATTACGTCTGCTGAAGCAGGCTTTTGAGGGTTTTAGTCATTATTTTAATAAATCTACACTTTTTAACGCTAGTTTTCATTGGTCCAGCGTAAGAAGTCTAAGTCATTTAATCACAATCTATATCTCAATGATTAAATACGAATCACTTTTTTTTTCTTGGTACAAAAAGTAATTTTACTTATCCAATTACATAATGTATTTAATTTAAACAATCCACTCCAATTTATTAAATTTTATTGATTGTTCATCTATGAGTCAATCTATGAGTAGAAGAAGACAAAAATAAAATAAATAAATAAAAAGAACAGTGATATGTTTTTTTATATCAATCACAATACATATATAATATGTTTGCGAATAGTGATAAGTATGCATCTACATTAATCTATCTAAGTAGAAAGGTACTCTTTAAGACACGTTGGGTTTAGTAGTCATATTAGTCATGCTGAACTTTTTCTCTTGCCTTATTGTAACAAATTACGTTAACGTCCTAGCGTCTAAAATTATTTATAAAATAATTTAAACCTAAAGGTAACTTCCAACATTAACTGTTTGGACACTCGTAAGTACTTAGAATAGCGCGCTACTGCGGTATGGCGCCGATATCTAGGTACCTATGAAAGGACATCAAATGCCTTAATCTTGCCTTATACTACATATAAAAGCTCGGAGTCTACGAGCCACATTTAACATTTCTAAGTCTTGTGACTAGATTTCCCTTAATTAAATAATACACAAGTAAATAACATAGGAATATTTGTACGACAAGATGCCATTGATCACGAGCGGTAACTCAAATGCAGACTAAATACACAACATTATAAGATTAAACGAAATCACACCCAAAATTCGACGAATACCTATGTTTATAATAAATTAAGTTTATTATAGGGCTTACGCAATAAGATTGTCTTCTTTGCTTAAATTATTAAACCATACCTACTTAACACCGATTCCGTGGGAGATCGTATCTTTTAGAAAGTCCAACTAGTCTATAGAAAAATATTGAATATTCTAAACACTTATAAGTAACGGATTCGGTTCTAAACATCGAAGGAGAATGCATACGAAGGCGGGAGTGGTCCTCGGGAGATGGGTGGCCTAGAAGGGGAGGCTGGCGCGGAACATGTTTTCGATGAGGGGCGGGGCGGGCACGAGGTCCTCGAGCTTGAGGTAGAAGATGCGCTGCAGGCCCTGCACGGACAGCGAGCGCAGCTCCGGCAGCGCGCCCAGCACGCGGCTGAAGTGCGGCGCGCCGCCCGCGCTGGCGCCGCCGCTCGGCATGTGCGCGCGCAGGCAGCCGATGATCTTCATCTGCAGCTGCTCCACCCGGTGCGGCTCTTTCAAACCGTGCCGTTCTGGAAACAAAGAAAAGCTCCCGTTAATTTCTTGTTACATTAAGCTTTTTTTGTAAAAAGTTATTAGGCTAAAGTTTAGCCGCTAAACTTTTCCTATCTTTACTGGCGTTTTATTATTTTTATTTATGGTTTCTGTTAAATTATTATAATTTGAGAAATCAAGAAGGATACTCCTACATACCTGTTATCAAAGTCAGAGCGCAGAGACAAGCGAATGTAGAGATATCAATGTCCATTGAATGCAGTGTGTTGCTGAAGTCGAGTACAGCGTGAAGCCAGTCTCCAAAAGAGCGTTGGCACTGTCTCTTGTCAAGCACCACGCCGTTGCAGAAGGTGAGCTTGGTATCCTCGGGCCGCGTGCGGTACGCCAGCCGAAGGACAAATAATTCGAGCCTGGCAGATGCAAACAATTGTTCACGGTCCTCGGGGCACAGTTCTCCATAACCGGGAACTTTTTCTGCGAATACTTTGATCATATCAATAGATGTCGTTAGCAACGAGTAGAATTGCTGAATTACTTCCAAGTCCGACATCGGTGGTTCCATTGGGTTCGGTTCCCTATATTGCGAATAGTCCAAATTAGCAAAATCGGGCGATGTGTCCACATGCGCTCTTACTAGAGCCGTGATTAAAGAAATCGGCGGACTCGGCGGGGACTCCTGAGGGCATTTCGGTTTAGATGGTAATCTGCCTCGTCTTCCTTTCAATGAGTCAGTTCTGACCACTTCTTTGACCATTCCGACCACCAAACATTTCTGGAATCGGCAGAATTGGCATCTGTTTCGTCTTCTTTTGTCGACAGGGCAAGATTTTTCGGCTAAACATACATACTTCGATCCTTTCTGCACGGTTCTCTTGAAGAATCCCTTGCAACCCTCACAGGTTCGAACACCGTAGTGTTGGCAAGCAGCAGTGTCACCGCAGACAGCGCACAGCTGGCTCGGCGAGGAAGGAGCAGCGCGGGGGCCTCCGACGTCGGCGGGCGCTCCCCCGGGCGAGCTTGAGGCCGAACTCGGCGCTGACGCCTGCATGCAATGCACTCGGCCTCCATGCAGCTTGGGACTTTCATTAGAACTACTAGACTCAGATCGTTGCACTGGTAAAGAAGCTCGCCTTTGCCGTGAACTTTGATCGGTAGTTATATGCAAATCGACGGAACTAGGGAAGGGAGGCAGTGAGTACGAATCCTGATTATGCGTCACTCCTCCGGTATCAAACGTAGGACTGCAGGGCTGGGCGGGCGCGTAGTAAGGCGACGGTACATAGGGTATTGTCGGTTGATGATACGGGTATAACAGTTGAGTTGAAGTGTGGCCTTGATGAGAGTAAGCGCTAACGTTGTAGCAATCTTCGTCCATTTTTATTCCAAATTCAGTAACTTCTTGCTTAGGATAACGAACTGAGTAAGTTTCTTCGAAACTGGGCAGCGCAGGGCCGAGGGTAGGTGATGAGGGATCACTGACAGGAGTCGTGCGTTGCGACTTTACTTCAGGCGGAACGGGAGCGTGAAATTCTACGTCTGGGAATGGATCGAGATTTTCTTCCAAGATTTCTGACGAGTCGTCTTGGTATTGCGACGACAGTAGATCAGTGAAGGACGAACCGTAGTTGCTCTGTAACAAAAAAAAATATCGATCGATATTGGAGGCGTCACATCGGTAGGCGGTGGACTGTAGACAGGGGCGGCCTCGACGCACCAATGGCGTGCTTTTTGTCTCTACCTACTTAACGATGCTTTCATGACTCGCTTTATCGACTGCTCACTTGTCATTCAAATTGTGCAGGTGTTCTAATTATTTAATATCCTATTCAATACTTGACGGCACATGCTTAACTAACACCAAAAAGCGTGATTTAAATTAATAAAATTGGGAAATGTATTAATGCTTTTCGATAGAACTTTTTTAAAGTTCAACAAAGTTAGTTACATATACGTCTAAGCTTATGATGCATTAATTAAATATCTATACATTTCCATTTAGATTGAATGTTAAATGCCACATAATTATCATTAGATTTTATCTAAATCTATTTTTGGACACATTTAATAACGCAGGGGTGTTTTGAATAATTAAATAGAGTCGTACATGTGTCATTTTTTAAATAAATTAGCTTATAAGGTATAACTATTTGGGGTGAACTTATGATAAAATAAAGTAAAGTACTCACGTGTGTCTGCAGCAGTAGCATGCTGGAGGCGTTGGACGTATAAGCGCTTGGCGAGCGCGGCTCTATGGCGCTCGGCCCTGCAACAAACGAAAAATTCCATTGTAGCAACGACAACACTGTCAGCCTAGCAAACGCAATCACGATACTATTTTTCCGTGTTATTATAGGCAATCGGACGATACAATATTCATAGGCAAGTGAAGTTGAGTTACAGCGCGGGAGGGTGGATTGTGAATGCGCGAGGAAATGGCTACTCGTGGAACTGACGCCGTCGTCCTTTGAACTATCACGCTATATAACCCATGCATCTTTTATATTTACCCTCGGCGAACATACTTTGGTTCTTCCTTCACCCAACACGTTTATTGACCAATCGATAATAATCTCGCGACTGTTCTAGGTGTCTGTCTATTGCTACCCTTCCTTCACAAGTGACGACGGGAAAGAAAGGTCTTCTAATTTATACTGCAGTTATACCCACCGAATATTGGCGTTTTGAATACATCGTGTCACGGTGCTTGATTCGCCACGCCCCGAAAATTGAAATCTATATACACCTAATCTATTTGTACTAGAGACACTATAGAATCATAAATGAGCACACAATGGATCTTCACCCTTATATCTTGGGGCTTGAATATAATTTTAGATTGCACCAAACTATGAAAATTTTTAGGGCGAAAAGGCGATGGATCCCTTGGGAGGTTATGAAATCAGTGGCATTTGCAGAGTCTATTATGTTAAGAACCATTAATTCCAGCCTTATTAAGCTATGAACAAAACAGTGTGGAAGCTTTTGTTGTATTTTTTATAAAAGTTCTCAGTGATAGGTAGTATCTTTATTTGGTTTTTTTTTAAATTATCTATTTAAAAATAATATTAAAAGCTATTATAATGTTTTTATTTTAGTAGTGATTTCTTAAAAAATACCTTAATTGAGATAGGTAATTTGTAAGTATGCACTACGAATATTCGTAAATAAATAAATGGATAGGAAGTTTTCTTGGAATATGACAACCGCTTTATACGCATAGGTACTAACAGGTAATATCAATGCATACGTAATATTAGGCAGGTTTTAAATAAACACGAATGTTTGTTTTTGTGACGTACAGTTAGCAGTTTTAGGATTCCTAATTCCGTGTCAATAACCTTTCAACTCTCACTTTTTAGAGTTTTATTCTTATTTGCTAGATAGGCACTTCAGCCATGTCAACAGTTTTATACTTTTTTAGAAATTTTTCACTATTACCTGATAATTACACAGGTATTGCGATTGCATTAATTTGCAGCATAAGCGTCAAAAATAACAGACTATATTAACTTAAAACGTTTATAAAAATCCTTTTTGGAATTACCGTCATGGTGAAAGAATTTTGCCCTAGTCGCTACTATAGTAATAACAATTTTCAGTAGAAATACAATAGAGCGCAGTATATTAACCTGAAGTAGTGGGACTTATAGGTACCACATTATAACGAAAACAAAACGATTACTTAAGCTTAACCTGCCCTGAAAACTGCTTAGTGATTATCATTCTCCAGTTTATGATTGATTTATTATGTAGTTTTAACTTATTTAATACCGGGTTGTATTGTTACTTGTTAGTTTATGGATAGACTTCTGTCAAATAAAAGACAGGAGGAACTCGCGAAAGTATAATTGTATACGAGAGCTTTTCAAAAGTATTTTAACAATGCTACAATAGGCTACAATAAAAAAATCCACACATTCCTTGTAAATGGCTTAAGTGTGTTTTGTATAAGTAATAGTATTACGAGTAGGTATGTTAATATTCGACAACATATCAGAATCACGTTATTAATTATATCTAATTTGTTGCAAAATTGCAACTGTAAGATGCCAGTCATTTGTCGTCGCCCGTACAAAAATTACTTACTTCAAAGTAAGTATTTTTTCCACACGTATACTATATGTAATTTAACTAATGTAATGTAGAGTGGCTAGTTATATCGAGTTTAAAGTTTTTGGACAACGAACAATTTACCTACTATTTATCAAAACTATAGTACCTCAAGACTTACTTATAACTCCAAGCTTTCAATATCGGGCCCAGTCCGCGGGCATTGAATGACAATATGTATAATCTCAATTTAGAAACCGGGCCTATATTTCAAATTAATTTGTACCTAATGTTAAATGGACCTTGACCTTGAATTCCCCACTGATTACTAAGCAGATCGCAACCAAGTTATGTATATTTGAATGAGCTTTCAACACTTTTCCTTCTAGATATCACAATGAAAATGAGACTATCATAATTTTTTTATTACTTCAACATGTGCATTCTTTGCAAGCCCCTGAACTTCCCTTTCTGAGCCTTTGTATGTGACATCATATTATCAACATCAAATATTTTGAACTGCTTCATAATCCTTAATACTAATGACATGTTGTGTCCTATACCTATACATTTTCCAAAATTCACTGGTAAAGGTTGATTATTTTTTATTGATTGTGAATATGTAACGGACAACATACTTTTCATATAAAATTTACTGAATTTTCATATAATTAAGCGATTAATTAACTTTAATCGTTGCCGCGCATAAGCCCATTGATAGCAGTCACAAGGTGCAGACAATTTTTTACATGCAAAACGAAATATATGAAAAATTAATATTTACTTAAATCGCGAATGAAGGTGAAACTTATTGCAATCTTTATAAAATACGTTCTATAATCCGCATAAAGTTATGAACGTGTTACTGAAAAGTTGAAGCTTTTTATTTGACAGATTCCGATGGTGGTGCGCATAAAAAGCTATTTGTAAAGTAAGTATAGTTGTACTTATCTAACTACGAGTATAGGTATTAATTTGTTATCTATCTAGTCAATTGGTGTATTTAAATACACTCAGCGGCACGGAATTTGGCCCAAGCCTAAACACCCAGATATGAGGCCAAATAGGTGTTGTATACCTAAGTTTCGTGTGACATGTTAACAGAACATTTGTTTTTGTTAATTTAAGAGGCTAGATTTATAAAAAAATGCGTCTGTTTAACTTTTTTGACTCAAGAAACGTCATGTCACACGAAACTTAGGTACTTATACAACACCTATTTGGCCTCATATCTGTGGGTCTAGACAAAGTGCAAATTATAATCGCAAACCAGCCGCAAAGTGGTCGAAAAGCCCTTTTTTTGTATGGAATTTTGACGGATTCGATTTTCGATTCGATCAAAAAGTGCGTTTTGTCTAGGGGGGCTGACCTGTTTAGGCCAAATTCCGTGCCGCTGAGTGTATAACAAAAAATACTTGAATAGGTATATTTGAAAGTTATGAATTTCAGTTCTCTTTTAATAACTAATTGCACAGATAATAATGTATGTAAGCTAAATAGGTCCAGAAAACTAATATTTCAGACGTTAATTATATTGAATATTAAATTGTAAAAATAATGACTATGTTACAAATGAGACTAATTTGGCTCAAAAACAAGTCAAAATAACATGTAAGTATAACAAGATGAATATTGCTTGTTTGGACAAAATTGTAATTACAAAGTCAAATGTAGAGTCACTTTAATTAAAAAGATAGTAGCTATCTATTTAAAGTGACTCTACATTTGACTTTATGTATTAAATAGAAATTAAGACTGTAGTCAATAGTTAGGTATTCATTAATCTGCTCACAGTTTCAAGGTCTTGTTGTAGTACCTACTAATTGTCTTAAATATTTTAATTTTTGTATTTTATAACAAAGTATTATTAAAATGAACACAGCGTAAATCGCTGAAAATCAACTAACCTGATATAAATCTGATGACGAAATATACCGAGCGGCTTATATTCTTTCTTAGGCTGAGTTGCACCACCTAATTTTAACGGTAACTATAACGATAACGATAGACAGATTTTTGACGTTTGTCAAAGTTAAAGTAAGATGGTACAACCTAGCCTTAGTTAACTTTAACAAATATTGGTACCATTTTCCATACTAATATTAGGAGAGGAAAGATTTGATTATTTGTAATGAATACGAATAGGCTCCGAAACCATTGGACCGATTCGAAAAAATCTTTCACATTATTATTTCTGATAAACATAGGCGGTACGAAATTCGCCTGGTCACCTAGTTACACAAATCCCAACTAATATTATAAATGCGAAAGTAACTCTGTCTGTCTGTCTGTCTGTCTGTCTGTTACGCTTTCCCGCTTAAACCTCGCAACCGATTTTGATGAAATTTGGCATAGAGATAGTTTGAGTCCCGGAAAAGAACATAGGATAGTTTTTATCCCGGTTTTTGAAACAGGGACGCGCGCGATAAAGTTTTTCTGTGACAGGCAAAATTCCACGCGGGCGAAGCCGCGGGCGGAAAGCTAGTAACTTTATATAAGAATTATTATTTAATTTTTTTTAAACTAGTTGTACGAGTTAGATAATAATAAGAAACGCGCATGTCATAAGCTGCGTTATGAACCTAAAAACGGTATAATAAAACCATTTTACCAGCATGTGTTTTGAATAAAATAAAATTATAGTCAACCGCAACACCTTGAATGTTAATAATAGTATTAATTATCATTAATTTAGGATTTGAACATAGCCTAATCAATACTACCTACTCGGCGCTTAAATTTTCAGAGAGCTTTTATTCGTTTGAATGTATTTATGAACAATATAAACCGTTTTTAAAGGTTTTATTAAGTTACTTGGACATTAAAATAAAACAGGCCTGAAAAGATGCCTCAATCTGAAAATGATAAGATGATAGACGACATCTACTGTGAGTCAGGAAAGCTACGTTTTAAAAGCTCCCTTGCCTTTCACCGTTGCTAACTCGCCACCCTCAGATCCCTTATAACTACGCGAGACGGTTTGTTCGTTCCGTAACTTTCAGTTAGATGGCGCGCGTATGAATCAAGTATTGATTGCATGGTTCATGGTTAATTACGCTTTATCTTTAGATAGTATATCGTGCAATGGCGTTAGAGCTTTCCCAGTCTGTGACGTATTGGAGCGTGTCTGCGTAATGCGCGCGTAAACAAGGCAGTGACGAGGTTCGTGTTAACGTAACAATTGACAGCTTACCGGCGTCTGACTAACGTCATTCGTGACGAAGCATTTAATGAGGTATTAAGCTTTGTAATCGTGATATAATCTTATCAAACGAGACATCTATGCACGTGTGGCAGGGGATTTCTCTTATTACGTTAGCGAAAAAGGTACTAGTTGTTGGACACTTCGAATTGACGAGGGGACTTTATAAAAGTTACTTTAACTTAATAGTTTCAGATTTTATGACTTTCCAAGAAACTTACATTACATTCCATGTTTTAAAGGACAGAATAACTTGGTAATATTTGATATTGAATATCTAAGACAAGCTTGTTTTTTTATATTATACTCATATTATTATGACCAGACCAGAAAAATAAGCAATATTTTGTTAATTACGAGAATGCTCATCTGAAGAAATGCTTGAATAACTACTATTCTTCTGAATTTACTGTTTTTTTACATGTTGGGTTTTTGAATCCAGGTGGAAAACAATTAGCATATCCACAACAGCACCTGCCATGTTAAGATATTCAAATTTGAATGCAAGATGTAGGCAAAGGCAATCATTCCGTGGTCATATCCTTATGTTCTACATAAGTAATTAATATTTATAATGAAAGCAATTTCTGTTCCAACTTCAGCTTTCAAGTTTATTTTTACGATCACGAGAATGTATTTACGTTATACGTCAGCAAATTTCTTTCGGAAAAATAGATTTGTATTTATCAGCTGTCGGCAATGAAAATGCGTGGGTGGGGGGAGTGTTGCCGTGACGTCATCGCGTCTGACGTCACGCCTCCCCTGCCTCTGAATACATATTCGCATAGACAAACCTAAATGTTTCCCAAAATAGCGGCACGTTATCGTTCACATAAATGGATATAGAATATAACACTAAATAGGTTAAGTATACCGTATCGCTATAACCTTTTAGGGGTATGTTATAAAGCTGAGTACTGGGAAAGAAATTGTACGACATTATGTCCTAAATTGGATCATATTACGTGTGCTTTTAAACACACCCGGCATAGATCAAATATCTGGTACATACCTCGTAGCACAAATACTACGAGACTTTTACTACGAGATTAAAAAAAATCTGAAACTGTAGTAGGTAAGTCCTAGATGAAAAGTTTTTAAGCTTACAACATTAAAAGCTTGAAAAAGCTCTTAAAGGAGTGAATCATATTTTACATAGCTAAATGATCATGTAAGTATAATATGTTCGATGTCCGGTCCGTACATAAATACATGATCTATTTATGTAGTTAATAATTCCATATTATCCATAACTTTAATTCAGTCATCAGCATTGTCTTTGTTTTATACTGTATTAAATGATAGAATCTTCATTAATTAGCTAAATGATCATGTATCTTTATTAATTAATAAAGATTCTACGATCATAACTATGATCTTAAAAAGTTTTGAGTTGCTTTTTGAATAATTTCTGTGTGATTATTTTATACTTTTATCCGTAGACCTTAGGTGTTCAGTAATGTTTTAAAATGTTGCTCAATCAAATGCTGCACAGTGCTAGCTACAGAGTTGTATTTACTGCAAGCTCTGTGCAAAGTGGGCGTAAGTTAAAAGGAAGTTGGTAGCCGGCTGGGCGGCTGGCAAGGGCGTCCTTGAAATGAATCGCGGTCGATGCGTGACGTAATACGTAACGTCACAGGCGGCGCGGGCCCGCCGTTGTCCGGCGCCTCACTCACCCCCTCACCGGCGTTTTGCCGCTAACACCACCCCTCTATTTTTAGACGGTATGACGTAAACGTGCTTTTAAACCGAAAGCGATACAGGCACTGCAAAACACGCCTGAAAACACTCACGTTTTTTCATTCGCCTACGTAAGTTTTTCTTTGAAAACAGCGCGGCCTTTGAGCGTTTCATATCACTGTCGTTTTAACATGCGACAATTTTCACAGTCGTACGAATATTACTGGAGATATTCTCATACTGATAATTTAGGATTTTTTAATAGGTTCCAAATTCTAGAAGATGTAAAGTGAGATAATAAAAGTTGGTTTATTCGTTCGTTCGTTTAAGCCCTTTTAATGTACCCGATAAAAATAAAAAGAGCAATAAAAATAAAAAGAGCCGTGACAATGATGACGATTCCCGCTGCGTTTATGTAGATACGCAGGATACGCTTAATAGGGCGGGAAGACTGGGCGATCCCTTTTCCACCCGGGGGTGACGCGTCAGTGAGAGTGACGCGCGGGGTCGCGGCCACCGTGACGTCACGCCAGCTGGTATTGTCGCGTCCTTATCGTTGTCAAAATTCAAATCGTTGCTCTATCATCACTTCAAATCGTGCGTCTATTGTAATCGGCAACTAATTTGACTTCGATCACCTCCAAATATATGTTAAGCTTTTTATTATTCAATCATTATTTGCATATTAGCATCTATAAAAATTTAAGATAAAATAGAGACCAAAAATGGAGTCCTTTCATTTTCACGTTTGTGATGCGTGAACAAACATGGGATGGGCACTATTATAAATTTTAGAAACAAAAGTGAAAGTCTATATTTGAATCCATCGCCGAAGACAGTGAGCCTTTTAGCATTCGTTACCATTGCTTACACTTCTTTTAGTGCAGCAGTGTGCAGACTAGTGTCTGTAGTAAGTAGTACGTAAGGTGTTTGTATCGGCATATCGAGATCATACGTGATGCGATATAATGTTGTAGGTCGGTAATTTGCAGAGGCTCGCATCTCGGCAGGTGCAACGTCTGCCGGTTGCGACAACCGATTGGGCAAGTGGCAGGCAGTTCGGGTGAGGCCATCGGCTCCGGAGACCGGAGGCGACATAAATATCCCACATTATGGTCGCAGACATTACCTAACTCGAAGTGAAACAAATCCAAAGACGATTTGACTTGTCGACTAATAGCGATTTTCGTATGAAGAAGGTGCCGCTGTCTATGTATGTAGGTACATTATGGTGATGAGCTTAAGACAAGCCCGATACATCTATCTATACGTTTAATTTATGCAGTTAGCCGAAGCGGTGTGTATCATCTTCGACCGGTCTAACGGGTGTTGAAATATTTCACCATGTTCTTATTAGTGGTCTACTTGACTTCCATCACTTTATTGGATTCAATTAGCGGCTTTTACACGTAATAAAGGTTTTTTGTATCTGTCATTCTTCAAAATGACAACATAATTATTTAAAATTATTTCTTGTGACTTTAATTAATGTTTGATTAAATAACTACTTAGATATGTTAATATTAGTAGCAAGTAATAAATAACTTATTGTTTATTATTTTTATTTATATTCTTCACGTTTTCAAAGAAAAATGAATTTTTATGATGCTACGTATCGTATTTAGACTGACACATTGTACAGATATTTAGAAACTCCTACGAATTAAACATTCTGAATTACGTAAAAAACATACAAATAAATATTTATCTGGCCTAACTGGGTGTTTTGTTTAAATTGTGTAGGATATGTTAACATAGATAAATAATTTAAAAGGATTTATTGGTTGACGATGCACTGGAAATCCATATTTTACTAAAGATTTATTATGCCTGTTTGATAAATCAAGATAAAACCATTTTGTTGAGATTTACATACACATTACCTATTAAGTTTTGTAATGTTATTATAAAATGAGTTACATTAGTTCGTTTATTATCTCTTTATTATTAATTTATGTGTGAAGATTGTATAAAAATATAAAATTGTATATGTATTACTATTTCCAAATGATTAAAGTTATTAATCGTTTTATCTATTATGCCACATTTATGTAGATTTTAAATGGACAAGGATGTGAAGCTTAATAGAATTGTTCAATTTATTATTCAGGCACAAAATGCGATCATCAGTTATTTTAATAAAGTTGAACTAGACAAAGCGCACAATGTTTACCAGGAAGACAAATAAGAATTTGCCAAAACTAAATAGGTGCGTTAATAATTACGCATAAGCGTATTGTTTGATTATTTTAAGATAGCTTTTGTTTGATAAGTAAATACCGAAACGACAGCTTGTGTTTCATTATTTTCTTAATTACAAGCGTTACTTTATTTTTCCTACAAAGTATTTGAAAGAAAATTCTGTTTACTTTATAGAATATTTTCATTTTGTACCGAAGAGCTTTCATGATGAAAGTTTACTTTTCATAAAGTTTTGACTTTGAAACTTACTAAAAAGTTTTTTTCTAAGTTAGGTAGATACTTAGTCGTCAATAATTTGCATGGAAATGCCTATTATATTCAATATTAATTAAGGCATTCTTCAGTGCTTTTTAGATTTCTGGCGGGAGGTAAAAAACTAGGATAAGGCTTTTAAAAACTGAAAGTAAACTTAAAAGATAAATGGTAAACAAAATGTATTGAAATCCAAAGTATAACTTAAATAAAATATAAATAAAATAAAAAGGGAGGTACGTACGTGTATTTTGAAAATGTCTAAGGCCGCAGTGTTGGCTGGAGGGCGTCAGCAACGCACCTCGCATTCTAGCCGATGGCCATCGTCACGAGAGTTCCACACAGAGTCTACAACACCCAGAGGTTCTACACAACGAAAGCGAAAATAAACACAGAAGTGACGGAGCGCGTATCGTCGTGCGGGCGCTGACCTGGCGCAGGCTTGGCGGGGTCCAGCGAGGAGTCGAGAGGCTCCAGGTTCAGACCGAGGCACGCGCCCGAAAGTCCCAGCTCGCTCAGCAGGATCCTCATGCGGCCGAGCACATTCCACTCACTGCACGCGCACTCACTCACTCGGTAGGTTGTAGTGGATCGCGAGAAGGTGCGCGGAGGTACACGCTTGTGAACGGTCGGTGCGTTACTGAGGCCGCCGCCGCCGAGGCTGGTGGCTATATCGCGGCGTATGACGTCACGGGCGCGACGTCACGACGGCGACGTCATTAACGGTACCTCCCACGGCCCGCCCGCGGCCGCCGCGCCGCCCGCCCGAGCCTGCTAACGGCACCGCTAGTACGGCCGAGCTTTCATAAACCCGCGCCGCCCGCGCCCGACCGCCGACCGAGCACGCTTTCCACGGCCAGCCGAACATCACCCCGTACCCCTTGTTACCATCTGTGAATTTTCACACTAATTCATCATTCAAAGGATATTTTTCGTTCTTAAAGAATTAAAGATGTTTGGGTTTACGAAAAAAATACGTTATTTTATCTTTACTCCTTTAAATTTTTAATGAAGTGTAAAGTAATCACCAATGATTTTGTATTTATATTGACAAGGCAAAATTATACAAATATTATAGTAAATTTTATAAGAATGGGACGCAATCGATTATTATACTCATTAGTCAGAGTTTCAGAGCTTTTGTGAAAAATTCTCACCACTTAATTAATTGCTTAGGTTTTGAATGAAAAGTTTTTAAATTGTAGGTTCACCTATCTATTTTAGTTGTAAGAAAAAAATTACATTTATACTTACATTTAACTTCAGAGCTTTTGTGAAAAAGTCTTCCAGAAGTAGGTACCATTTCATAAATTACTTAGGTTTTGAATGGAAAGTTTTAAAATGGTGGACTTATTTATTTTAAGTAATAGGTATTTATCAATATTAAGCCGATATATCAATAAAATTGTCATTCCTGTTACCTTTTATTTTAAGGAGCTTTAGAAGCTTACAAAATATTTGGCTCTAGCTGAGCCCGTGACTTCTTTCGCGCGCTCAATACTGTTTTTCAGAGATATTTTGTGTGAATTGTTTTACAGAGAGATCAAGCTACATTCTACTTTCATAATGAAATGTAATTTATTGCGATCGTCACCTGAAATAAGTGTTAACCACAGCAAGTGCTGATTGAGTTAAGAAAATACTTTACCTTCTACCTCTTACCTTTTCCACCAAGTCTTATCAGGAAAATTATATCTAATAGGTACATAGTAGTACTTTATTTTCAGTTTGGCTGACTGGAGCGACTGGAGGAAAATGCCGAAAGGCATTAAGTTCGTTTTATGTTATCTGTTCTATGTGCATATAAGTTCGAGATAAATAGTAATCTGGTAGCGGGTAGAGTCGCGGGCAAATGCTAACTTACAACTTTTGAGTAAGAAAGTACGTTTATTATTGTTATCGTCTATTATTACGTACCTCGCACACAAATATAGCCTACATTACGCTGACGTCACTGTTCTCTTGAGTCTCGAAAGTTATCGTGAAATTATATTTACCCGAAGCGTCACAAAAAGCTTGTTCAGGACGTCATCTGTCAGCTTTGAGAGACTTTATTTCATTAATGGTAACATGCCTATAATTTTTGAATAATATGTATAGTAAATCATTGGGAGAGACCTATGACGTTCAATATTGTTCAGTCCTATAGCTAAAATGATGATGATGGAATAAAGATAAATGTATGTGTATTTAGAAAAGATATTTATTTTAGTAGTAACTATTAATTTAAATTAGGTATTTGAATGACGGTTTATACTACTAATATTATAAATGCGAAAGTTTGGATGTCTGGATGTTTGTTACTCTTTCACGCAGAAACTGCTGTACGGATTTTGATGAAACTTTTCAGTATTAATATTATAAATGCGAAAGTTTGGATGTCTGGATGTTTGTTACTATTTCACGCAAAAACTGCTGTACGGATTTTGAAGAAACTTTTTAGTATTATTGTTTATAGCCCAGAATAACATATAACTAGTCTAATTTATGACGACCTATGACAAACTAAATTTTACGCGGGTGATGCCGCGGGCAAAAGCTAGTATTCCATAATGATTTAAGTATTGTTTTACATAAGGTTTGTAGGTACAATAAATAATGTTTATTATAAGCACTACTTAGGTAACAATATATTTTTAGAGTACTGTATCGGTTTTATTAGTACGTTTTGTAGCCTTTTTTTAATAGGCAGGTTTTTATAAGGCTCTGGGGGCACTTTAAAGTGTTAGGCTACCGAACCACTAAAAAAGCTTTCGTAAAATGTCTCGATACGGAGAAAACTTAAAGTTTAAAGAAGTGGCCACGCCTAAGTCTATTTTTAAGAAAACAGATTAATACCGATCAGCAGATTAAGATGAAGTCAACAGTTCAATAAATAACTTGTTCAACATCAATTCCAACTTTAATTGACTAGCACCGTCCGTCTACGCATTTTATAGTGCGCAAACACTTAGAATTCAGGTGCGTACCGAAATAGTCAGATGTTTTATAAATCGTAGTGCAGACGAATGCAGCGGTGACGCGGCGGCGGCCATCGCGACGCATCGTGCCCCCATTCGGGGCAGACCGCGCGCGTTTCCGCATTGATGCTCGCCGTCGTCACCCAGCAACTCATATAGTGCAGATAATTCGCCAAGACAAGAATCGCAATTTAAATTTCGTCTCTTATCACGGCAGGACGTTTGAGAATCTTAATGCACACAGGAAAATGCGATGAAGCCGGTTACTGCTTCGCCTAATATTTCGAAGATCACGTAGACTTTTTTAGTAGAAGTCGACATATTTTCATACTAAAAAATTCTAAAACGTTTATTCATATACGCTACGAATGAAATAAAGCGACTCTATCTTTTCTACATAGTGGGCATAGAGCTTGTACGTAGGTAGATGTCAAGTTATTAATAACTCATTTAAGTAAAAAGCATTTTTTCTAACGTCGTCACGAAAATTCAACCTTCATCCAATTTCAAAGTTTCGCAAAGAATGACGTTATAATATTAACGTAAGGAGCCTGGCAGCCTACGTCATCGGTCGGGTCCTTACAGGTTTATAAATAAATATTGAAAGACAAATTCCTGTTAAGCTTGTATAAAAATATGCAGGTTTCATAAATACCTTGTGTTCCGCTATAAAAAGCCTCTTCGTAAAAGTAGAGAAAAAATGAATGGTGGGGGAGAAAAAACGTCTTCCTCAGGATCGCGTGGGTAGCTGGGAAACCTAATAAGTTACATAACATCGTAAGTCCAGAGGGGGTAGTGGTGTTCAGTGGAGTATCCGCATTGAGTGCGATGCATGTATTTGCGGCTGTTACGATTGGTCGCATGCCCCAGTACTATTTGCTGCTCGCCGCTCGGGCAGCCGTCCAGTTATTCTAATTTTATATAGGTATAATCGATGCCGTCGCATCGTGGCTCGCCGACAAAAGACTTGTCCATCCGTCAAAGGTGAAAACTGACACGACGTAAATAACATTATTGTGTAGGTGATCTGCTAGCTCATACGGTAACGAGGCGATTATACTTTCGATTTCTTGCTTAGTATTAAAAAACCTGCGAAAGTACCATCTGCATTGGAGTATTCATGTTGTATAATAACTATTTGTAGTTTAAATCGTAAATCATTGAGGTACTTATGTCTTTACATAGGCTAGTTATTATGATAATAATCGATACCGGCTGCATATACAAGTACAGATAAAAATACATTTTTATTGAACAATGAACACTCATTCTGTTTTAGATCCGTATAAGTCGACGTGACGGTTAGCGCCATTCCTTCTTTATTTTTCGTGTTTATATTCATGTATTTAATAAATTCAGACATGTGCTTGTTGTTAATTGTATATTACAGACTAAGGCTGAGTTGCACCACCTAACTTCAACGGTAACTATGATGATAACCGATGCTTTTTGTATGGAGTTTGACATATTTTTGACGTTTTTCAAAGTTAAAGTAAGATGGTGCAACCCAGCCTAAGGCTGGGTCTTACTTTGACCGTAACTATAACGATAACCGGTGCTTTTTGTATGGAGTTTGACATATTTTTGAGGTTTGTCAAAGTTAAAGTAAGATGGTGCAACCAAGCCTTAAAGCACTTAACTTTAGGTCATGTTTAGATCGGGCCTTGCGCGTGATGTGAGTAGTCCGCGAATAGCAATGCGTAAAAAATATGAAAATAATATAAAAGTATTTTTAATGGTAAACAATGTTGGCCGACTGTGCAGGTGTTTAACTTGAGAAAATCATAATAATAATATATAATCAGAGTAATTAAATATATTTTGCATTAATATTTTTAAAAAATTGCACTATTTTCTAAGTTCAAAATGCCAGGTGCCAGATATATATTTCAAGAGCTGAAAAATCAAAGCAAAATGTTTAGTTACAGCTAATTTAATCAAAAATATGGTATTTAGTGAGTCCTAATTACTTAATTGGCACTGCTTTTCCGTTAGTAGATACAAGGTTTATCGGAAAAAATATGATAAATGGTTCAAATAACGTAGGTACTTACGAGTAATCTGGGAGCACGGCAGTGAAACCGCCGAGATGAGGCAATATCTAATCATGACATTCATAAAATTTTAAATTGTCTCGAAATCCAAGGCACTATATTCAATAAAATCAAATAAGTAATGTAAGAAGTAGGTACCTACTTTATTTTTTTAAATATTATTTGTAAAGAGGATTATTCGCTCAAATCCTTCTCTCAAAAATTATGAAGACGGCCAATTTACAACTAGTTGGTCCAACTCATTGTAACCAGATGTGTGGTATTTTTGAGTAAATAATTAAATGTTATCTAAGCTTATAAGATCTTAATTTCTTTTAAGTTGAAGGTTTGATTGGACCTGAATGAGGGTTTTCGCGTTTGAAAAATCCGCCAGATGGCAATACGTAGACGGGAGGTCCAAATGCTGCATGATTGGTGGATTTTGACATATTTGTCAATGTCATGTCAAAAATAACCAATCATGCAGCATTTGGACCTCGCGTCTATGTATTGCCATCTGGCGGATTTTTCAATCGCGAAAACCCTCATTGTACAGAAATTACTTATGGGCCC